CTTAGATTGCACTAGGCCTTTCCCCACGCTTCTTGGAAACACTTGGAAATGGATTTTTTTTTTGTCTCATTGCCCAGTTCTTTGAATTGAGTTTTTTTTTTTTTTAAACTGGTGTGTGTGTGGGTGTGTGTGTGTGTTTATTTAAATGTAGGATTTTCATCCTCCCTTCCCAATTTCCTTCCCTCCATATTTCCTTTCTTCCTTCCCTCTTTCCCTTTCGCCCCCCTCCTCTTTTCTTCTCTCTTCTCTTTCCTTTTTTTCCTTCTGTCTCCCCACCTTCCTTCTTTTTCCTCCTGGATTTGAGGCACTAGCAGAAACCATAAGTAATAGCCAACGTGCCCATAGCATTTTAGGGCCCCTGTCCCTTAGGTAACACGCTGTGGTGGCTGTGAGCAAAGATGCGTTATTCTGTTTGTTTCTCCTGAGAACACTCTGACTACCTCTGGCCCCATAACAGAAAACTCTCAAATGACGCCTAATTCCTACAGTCCCACCCAGAGTCATTAAACCACCATATGGATCAGAAAACTGAGATTTAGCTTAAATAACAAGAACATTGTTAGTGGTTAGTGAGCCTTTGGCCAGGGCTTGGACTTGAGACCAAGAATTTTTAGCTATGGCATCAGACTGCCAGCTGGGCATGGCCAGATGCCATACAAGACAGGTATGATTAATACTCTCCTTCCAAAAGGAAAAAACAAAACAAAACAACAACAAAACCTCCCCCCAACCCATGGAATCTAAAATCTACATATAAGATAGATGTGCTTTCATATATAAATAAAAAAATTTTACATAAAAAAAGATAGATGTGGATGTAGACACATGAACATCTGTCGTTTTGTGTGGCGCTGAGACAAAGGGGGCAGCATGAGAATCATATAGTTAAAATGGAAACAGGGGCTAGAATGAGGCTCAGCTACTTGTGTGCTTACCATCCCACTAGGGGATTCTGACATCACTCAGGGTTGAGTAGCACCGATTTTGGCTAAAAATAAGATCTTCTATTTGAGGGTCAAAGCCACAAAGATAAGAACTCTGTTTCCTCTTCTGGTGCCAGCTAGACCCCAGTGCCCTCTTCTAGCTCAAGGACTTGAATGGTCCATGTGTTCATCATCCAGAGTTTTGGTGTATGCTTAGCTCTATGCTCTGGGCTAGGCTGTCCATATACAAAATGGACAGGACATCTGGCCCCTGCCCAAAGTGGCACAGCAAGGAGTAAACATCTCAAGCAATTAGAGGAAGGCATGGGTCCGAGGGCAGAAAGATGTGCAAAGAGAAGGAGAAGTGTAAGCTGAGACAGGAAGCATGAGTTGGAAGGTGTGGGGCAGCATCAGGCAGGGGACATACCAGGACCCTGGGGCAGGAGGAGTTCCCTAAACTCTGCATGGCCAGCAAGGAAACATCTTTCTAAGCCTCTGTAGCCACCAGTCAAGTGCCCTCTGTGTTGTGGAGGAGGCACCTAGGGAACACTGCACTTGGGGATTCATTCTGACCTGCCTGGATTTCTGCCATCTAACCAGTCCCTGGGAAGAGATGGACACGCAGCTGATCTCAGTGGTCACCTGGCTGTACTCTAGTGCTTTCTTTTGGTGGCAGGCTTTCCTCCTCCACCTTTCTTAGCTCTGACTTCCTGTTTGGCATAAAACAGTTGTGATCACTCTCTGGGGAAGGACAATGTGCCAACATTGTGGCTGTCATGAGAGGGTGGGATGCGGTGAGATGAACCCCAGTGAAGTGTAAAGTGTGGTTTGAGCCCTTCCTGCAGCTTTCTGGCTGGGAGCTTAGGCAGGTCACTGGACTACTAGGAAGTCTCTGAGGCTGTTTCTTGATCTGCATCTGGCTAGGCGGCATCTTCAGGGTTATAAAGGGTCAAAGTTTGTCCGACTAGAACTTCTCAGATGAGAACCTGGACACACAGCTCCTGGGAACTTCTCAGCAGATCTGAGTGGTTGAAGGATTTGCATATATCACTAACACCCAGGTGATGGCTGGAGAGGCCCAGGGCTAAAGAGAGCCCAGGTCTAATGTGAGTAGCCTACTCCCTGCCAACCTACCTTTTGGGCACATAGCTTTCATCCAGTCCAATTCTGATTCTCCTCCAGAACTTTCTGCAGCACCAATCCTAAGCTGAGCCTTCCTAGCTTGTCATGACCTGCCCAGAGTTACATCCAGGGCCAGGTAGCTGGGGAAAAGGTCTTGTGCCAAAGGATGGCCTCTCTTCTGATTGCCCAGAAGCCAGAAATCCATAGTTTTAGTGTGAAAAGTCTCGATTTATCGACTGCATCCCCCGTCCCACCCCCCACTGGTCAGAGAAACAGCACATTTGTAAGCTGGACATAGTTGGCCAATATTTGCCAAACCAGTTTGTTCATTTTTCCCCTAACAGCCTTGTTTTTCTCACACCTACCTGAACTAGCCTTTACTTTTCTAGACTATTCTAAGCCTCACCTGTCTGTTAAAATCACACCCTGTTCACATCTCTTCTTTCCTCCACCACATATGACAGGGCTCACCTTTCTCTCACCTTTCTCTCTGTTGCATAAAGCTGTTCTTGGCTCCCTGTTGGGGCCATCACAGGGTGACTATAGAGAGCACGGTAGCGAGAATAGACTCTGAAGCCAATCTGTCTGCATTAAAGCCAGTTCTCCTACTGTGTGACCTTGGCCGACCACTTACCTTCTCTACCCGCTTCCTTTCCCATTTGTAATGGGGCAATGCTAGTTCTCACTCCTGGCCTACGGAGGGCTCTGTTCATGTGGAGGCTGTTGCTATTACTCTTTTAGTCTGGGGTTGCTCTTAACTTCCATGGGTTTGCCTCGTTTGGGTAAATTGAGCTCCGTTGTTCTGTTTGGACGAATGTTACCATACCTGCCATAGCCTGCTTTGTGTTTTGGTTCCTTGCGTGTTTTCTTATGTTTGTAACTGTTAACCTGCACCCGTGGGGTTGAATGTCTGTCCTTGCATTCCCTTCTGTACTCAGCATTGTGTCTTGATCAGAATTGGTGGCCAGGACGCTGGTTGAATTAAACCACCTCAGGCTTTATGTACCTCTCCCTTCTGTGCTCCTAAAAGACCCCCCATCCAGAAAAACACTCGGGGAAAGTGGCTTACAATGAGTGGAATAGGAATCTAGTGTTTTAAAAATTGCATACCATGTCATGCTGAAACACAGACACCCTGTGGTCTTCTTGATGTTATCTGTGGTCTCTGGGTCTGGGTGCTCCAGGGCTAAAGCTGAAAATAACGTCAGAAAGCTTTGTGATAGTTTCCCAGGCACAGTGGTACACACGGATAATTCCAGCTACTCGGGAGGCTGAAGCAGGAGGATCATAAGTTTGAAGTCAGTCTCTGCAATTCAGTGAGGCTCTGTCTCAAAATAAAAAATAAAAAGGGCGGGGGATGTAGCTCAGTGGTAAAGCACCCTGGGTTTAGTCTCCAGTACTGTAAAAACAAAAAAACTAACAAATAAATAAAGAAACTCTTGATGATGGTGTGTGTGTGTGTGTGTGTGTGTGTGTGTGTGTGTGTGTGTGTGTGGTGTGTGTATGTGTTGATAACTTTACTAAACAAAGTGTAGCCTGGCTTTGCTGTGTACACATGGCATCTGTATACACACACACACTATATCTATTGATTGTACAACTCTAGATTTGCCACTAAAACTCTTTTTGTCTCCCTCTCTCTACCTACCCACTCTCCCACTTTTTTTTTTTTTACATCATGGGAATTGAATCCAGGGGTACTCAACCATTGAACTATATCTCAAGCCCTTTTTATTTTTAATTTTGAAATAGAGTTTTGCTAAGTTGCTGAGGCTGGCCTTGAATTTGTGATTCTCCTGCCTTAGCCTCCCAACTAATTGGGATTCCAAGTGTGAGTCACTGCACCTAGCTTCACTAAACCCCTTCTTAGTTCAACCTCTTGCTTTACCTCTCTTTTAGTTTTTGGGCATATCTTCTCTTCTTTCTTCTAGTACTTTAAAGAAATTTCCTGTATCAATTAGTAGTACTATTAATTTCCCCCCTGTATCTACATTTATTAAAATTTTTGAGGTACAGATTACATATAGGACACTGAGGTGACCCTGAAAGACCAGGTGGACTTGCAACCACTGACCACTGATCTCCTCCTCCCCCCAGATCTATTCAGAGTACTCATTTCCTCCAATTACCTGGGTACCTTTGTTAGGAAAGTGAGTAAGGACGAATTGGCTTTGAGGGTTGGTTGCAAGGGTCTGTTTAAGTAATTGGTCTGAGTTAAGGTCACCTTTGAAATCAAATGAACAGTAAACAGGATGTCAGCAAATGAACAGATCATACTAATCCTCAGGTTTACAGTAAACCAGTAGCACTGACCTTCCAATTTTTTTACAGGCAAGTCATGTGATCTGAGCTTTGATAATAGAGGGGGAAGGGAGCAGAACTTTCTGGAAAACCAGATGGCATTTTCCCATCATTGAGTCACTTTTTGGAACAGAGGCTGGTTTATACGGTGTCAGGTGGAGAGAAGATTTGGATCCCTGCGCTGGCTGGTACCTCTACCTTGTACAAGGAAGCTTGCTCCATGAGCTGTGTATTCTTTCCTGCAGCTCAGGCTGCAGTGCCCAGTGCAGGCTACACCTAAAACCATTTAGGGAGCTTTGAAAACCATGAGGTCCAGCCTGGAGCCTCACTGGGTAGGGAGACCAGGGAAGGTCCAGGCGATGGTAGCCAGGGTTGGGAACCACTAGTGTTTGTGGTCCCAGTAATACTTTGAGAATAAGGAATATTTGTAGGAGGTCACCTTTCACCTTTGGGATAATGTTTACAGGGTGGTACCTCCATTTTTGCAGCTCTGACAATCACCCTTTCCTTGCAGGGAGGTAGAAAGCTCACCATGGATGAGGGCAGGGTCTCTCTCCGCACAAGTAGAGCAAGCCACAGCAAAGTAGATCCCTGCCCCCCTCTTCTCTCCAAAAACATGAAGAATTAATGTCTGTACAACCTGTTTTTGTACAGTCAACTGCTTGGATCAGCATGTTCAGAAGTCCCCCGAGAGTGTGGCTTTGATCTGGGAGCGAGATGAGCCTGGAACTGAAGTGAGGATCACCTACAGGTACTGTCTATCCCTTCTCAGGCCTCTACACCCAGCAGGGTGACCGGAGTTTCCCTGTCTGTTGGCATGGATCAATGACAGTCATGACTGCCAGCACCAAACGCCCATGCGGTTCCACTTAACAGCGAAGGATTCTCTAGCTTGGCAGGAGCCCCAATCTCCTTGTTCACTTTGGCAATTTAATATCTTTAGATTCCCATAAATGCAACTGAGTTTTCTGAAGCAAGCAGAGATGGCAAATGTTCAAGGTACAGGGGAGGCATTTGGCCTGGTCCTGCTGTTGGTGTCTGGCTCTGGGGGAGTGGGTGGCTGAATATCAGAGAACATGATTCAGCTTTGGAAATGTCCTTTCATTTCAGAAAAAGGAAGCATGGGAACAAACTGAATAAAATACACCCTGGAGTCATAAAAGCCGGTCACTTAACCTTTTATTCTCACTTGTGAGTGTGGGACAATACATAAAAATAGCCTTGGAGTTTTTTTTTTTTTTTTTTTAACAAACTTGATACCATATTTTGCCCCATAATCATCATTACTACATTCATATACATTTATGAGCATTCCATGCATCCTCATTTTGTATCAAACATAATTTAGTCATAAATGATTTTAAAGTAATACTGGTATAATTTTTTAAAAATTGCTTCACATAATGATTACACCCCACTTTTTTTGCAAATAAAACAAAAAATTGGCACAAGATCTGCTACAATTATGTGGTAAAATATGGTGATTTTATTCTTGGATTTCTTAAAAAGAATTTCTTAAAATTCTTTACTATATCATGGGCCAAGGACATGTGTATTGGGCGGGTTAGCTGAGCTCATGAGTAATGGGCTTTCCTAAGGTTTCCTGTAGGGGCTCAAATTCTTTGAGATCATTCAGTGTGGAATATAGGTTTGGCATTAACACCTTCTTGGCCTGAGACTGGGGATGTAGTTCAGAGGTAGAGCAGTTGTGTAGGACGTACCAGGCCCTGGGTTTCATCCCTAGCACTGGAAAAAAAAAACCAAAAAAAAAAAAACCCAAAAAAACCCAAAAAAATCAAAACCAAAAAACCCAAACCTTAAGGCACAATTTGCCATAATTTTCCTTTACAACAAGCTGCCTAAATTGTGTGTCTTTTGTTCACATATCTTTCCACCACTCACCTCTTCAGGTCTTCTGCTACGATCACTATCCTAGAGGTGGCTTCAGACTTCCCTGGTCTAATCATCTAGCAAGTCTTCACTGGGTGCCTTTGTGTCCAGCAGGCCAGGATAGGTTATGTGTAATAACAATCAATCCTCAAATTCCCGATAGAGTGGCCACTTTTGACTGAATAGTCAAGGAGGTTCTCCCTGAAAAGGAGGTAGAAAGCTGACCATGGAAGTCATTTAAGCTGAAGTCCAATGACAAGGGGAATAATTTGCCCCGGGAACAGAAAAAAAGTACAAGTAGCTGGGACCTGGGAGTGAGGGGGACACTGGAGGAGTATTCAGAGAAATAGATACAGTCTGAAGAGAGTGAGTTACTCTCTGGCCATTTGAGTGACCTGAGGGTAAATGGGCCCCCACCATTGCTTTTCATTTGTTTCTCAAATTTCAGTTTTATCCCAGACCAAATTCACCAAGCCTGGTAAAACTGTGCTCAAATTAACTTTTGCATGCAGCAGTGGTGACGTTGGTTAATTTGCTGCAGCTCCCAGTAGAACTGGCCTGCTTGTCCCCCACCCCCACCCTATCCCTCAGGCCCATCAGAAACTTCACAGCTGTGGATCCTCAGCTCCTTTCCCTTACAGGGCTGAACTCTGGGCTTGTGTTTGCTTCTTATTTCTGTTCCCTATCTCCATCTTGCTTCTGAGAGCCTTGGGTCCACTGGACCCACCGAGTAAATCCCCATGCAGTCCTCCTGTGCACAGGGGATTATGAGGGGTGCTGGTCAAATAAATAGGGTGCTGTGACACTTTAATGATTTTGACTCAGCTCCATTTGTCTGTAAACAGACTTTTCTTCTGAAAAGGGCCTTAAGGCAGTTGCCTTGGGAGTCATCCTTCAATAAAAGATGAGAAACATCTGTAAGGCCAGAGGTGCTAACTGGATACCAGCTGTGAGCAGTCCAGTCCTGGCACTCCCTGGAGGACTAAACTCCTTCCATCTGTGTCCAGGGTGTGCTGGACCCTGGGGGCGGGTGGACCATGGGTTACACCCACTCCCAGCCTCTCTGTATGCTGCAGTCTTCAGCAGGGTGTGAACTAGGCTCCACGGCCCCCTGAAATGTCTGGTTAAACATAAACCATGTGGAATGTTCAGGACTGCGGCCAGTCCTGAACAAGGGCGACTTTAGTTCCATAGCAAAGAAGTAGCCTTGGGTCACAGACAAATTTATGAATACAGGTAAGGTATTTATTATTCTAGGAATGAGCAGACTTAGTCCAAAATGGTTTTGCTGATCTTAGCCAGGCTTAAAACCAGGTAGCTATTTCTATTTGCTTTTTGAGTGAAAAGTGTGCATACAGGTCATCTGTAATTGCAGCGAGTCCTTGAAGGACCCTGGTTAATCATCTTCCTGGTCATTTTAGGAGTTTGATATGAGATTTTCTTCCTGTCCTTCCACACTTACTGCTGGCTGTCTACCAGCATGCTGGAGGGTGCACATGAGCACACACACACACACACACACACACACACACACACACACACACACTCACACACACTCAAGCACACAAGCCAGTGTTAAAACCAAGGACAACTTAGTCATTGAAATGAAGTGCTTTCCTGCCCTGATGTCCCTGATGTCTCATGCAGCGGTACCACAGGAGCCTCAGAATAGCCACAACCTTTCTGGGTTCAAAGATTAACTTCTAAACTCATAGCCTCTTCCTTCCTTCCTTTTTTCCTTCCTTCCTCCCTTCCTCCCTTCTTTCCTCTTGTGGTGCTGGGGATGGAACTCAGGACCTCATACTTACCGGGTAAGACTTGTGCCACCAGTGGAGCTACAGCCCCAGCCTGCAGGCCCTTTAAAGCAACCCCATAGGACTGTACTTTCCATAGGTTGGGGTGTTGATGCAAGCTTACAAGTGGCTGGAAATTCTGCATGCTAACATGCCCCTGGGACAGTGACCAAGGAGAAAGAAATTTCTTGACTTTTACCCCTTACTTTGACCTCAGGCACAGCAGGCAGTTGTCAGTACCTGCAGACTCACCCTGGGATTGGCACAGTGGACTTTGCTCTGGAGGTATTTGCAGCCTGATTTTTCTCTGGTTATCATAGGACTTGGGGTCAGCAGAAAAAGTCAAATTCTGGTTTAGGATCATCCTCTGTTGGTTTGATGAATTGTGAAGTCACGTAGTCTCTCCAGGAACAATTTTCCCATCTATAAAATGGAGGCAGTAATTATAACCAAATGACTCTACAGTGATAGCACAAGGAGATGGTGGAATGCATTGAAGTGTAAATACTATCTGAGTGTGGTGGTGCATGCCCGTAATCCCAGCTACTAGGGAGATGAGACAGGAGGATTACAAGTTGGAGGCCAGCTTCAGTAACTTAGGGAGACCATATCAACAGCTCACTCCCCATAAACTACGGGGCTTAGCCCTTAAGAACACACACACACACACACACACACACACACACACACACACACACACAAACACACACACACACACACACACACACACACACACACACACACCCCTACATGTCTCAAAATAAAAAATACAAAAGGCTGGTATTGTAGCTCAGTGGTAGACTGCCCCGTGGTTCAATCTCTAGTACCAACCCCTCCTCCAAACAAAACAAACCAATTAAAAACAATAAAAAATTATCCAGTAAAAAAGAATGATGATTCTGATAGTAGCTACTATTTATTGAGTACTTACTAAGTTTGAGTTCTATTTTAAATACCATGACTGCATTATTTTAAAGACCACAATTTGTTTGGAAAAGAATAATAATGCTAATTATTATTATTACTACTTCCAACGTTTTATCATGAAAAAATTGAAACAGTGCACATACCATCTGCCCACCACCTAGATTTGTTTTGTCATGTGTGGTTTATCCATCATCCCTCTAAGTATGTTCCCAGACATCAGTATACTTTTCACAAGTCTCCATCATGCACATGATGAACTAGAGGACGTTATGTTTTTATTTTTCTCTTTTGATGTGAAATTTACCTGCAATGGAATGCACAAGTTTACATTTGCTGGATTTTGACCCATGCATACCCCTGTGGAACTCAAACTCATATTTTAAGAAGCAGAACAATCATTGCTTCAGAAAGTTCTTGTGTCCCTTCTTAGTTAATCATCACCCCTCCCCCAATAATCAACTTCCCGTGTGATTTATTTTCTGAATGGGTATCTTTTTTAAGCCAACCTTTCAGAAAAGGAGACAGCCTTAGGTGAAATTGTTTAACTAGGAGCAACTGTCTGGTGGGGGAAGCCATGGCTTGATTCCATGTCAGCAAGTTCAGAGCCAAGAACCCACATCACATGCCATAGGCTATGTCAGCGACTTCACTGGGACCTGATGCATCCTAGGACGAAGCCCTTCAAAATGGGCTACAGTCAGCATCCTTTTTCTGGGACTCAGCTTATGGGGGATGGTCAGTAATGTGTTTTCTTCCTCAGGTTCCCAGAACCTCTCACTCCTGGGTCTGCTAATTCCTTAGACAGGCTCATTTCTGAAGAATCACTGTCATGCTTCTTTGTGTCATGAATCAACAGCTCATTCCCCACAATCTATGGGGCTCAGCTCTTAAGAACACCTTCATGCTGAGAATTCATGAAAATCTCCACCATTGCTGTATCGCAGGCAGACACATACACATAGACACACACACACACACACACACACACACACACACACACACACACCTACACACATGTACCTTTTAAAAATTTTTTGTTACTGGGGGTTGAACCCGAGGTGCTGTTCCACCAAGCTGCATCACCGGCCCTTTTTATTTTTTTAAGATAGGGTCTGGATAAGTTACAGAGGGTCTTGCTAAA